TTACCCAGGCTGGAGTGCAATGGCGCGATCTCAGCTCACCGCAACCTCCGTCTCCTGGGTTCAGGCAATTCTCCTGCCTCAGCCTCCTGAGTAGCTGGGATTACAGTCACGCGCCACCATGCCCAGCTAATTTTTTTCTGTATTTTTAGTAGAGACGGGGTTTCACCATGTTGACCAGGATGGTCCCGATCTCTTGACCTCGTGATCCACCCGCCTCGGCCTCCCAAAGTGCTGGGATTACAGGCTTGAGCCACCGCGCCCGGCCTAAACAGACACTTTTCAAAAGAATACATATGAGGCCAACAAGCATGAAAAAATGCTCAGCATCACTGGTCATTAGAGAAATGCAAATCAAAACCACATTGAGATACCATCTCACACCAGTTAGGATGGCAATCATTAAAAAATCTGGAGACAACTGATGCTGGAGAGCATATGGAGAAATAAGAACACTTTTACATTGTTGGTGGGAGTGTAAATTAGTTCAACCATTGTGGAAGACAGTGTGGCAATTCCTCAAGGACCTAGAAATAGAAATTCCATTTGACCCAGCAATCCCATTACTGGGTATATACCCAAAGAATTGCAAATCATTCTTTTATAAAGACACAAGCACATGTATGTTCATTGTGACACTGTTTGCAATAGCAAAGACCTGTAACCAACCCAAAAGCCCATTGATGATAGACTGGACAAAGAAAATGTGGTACATAGACACCATGTAATACTATGCAGTCACAAAAAACGATGAGTTAATGTCCTTTGTAGGGACATGGATGAATCTGGAAACCATCATTCTCAGCAAACTGACACAAGAACAGAAAATCAAACACTGCTTGTTCTCACTCGTAGGCAGGTGTTGAACAATGAGAACACATAGACGGAGGGGAGCATCACACACTGGGGTCTGTTGGGGGTGGTTAGGGGAGGGACAGCGAGTGGTCGGGTGGTTGGGGAGAGAGAACATGGGGATAAATGCCAGATATAGGTGATTGGGGGATGGAGGCAGCAAACCACTTTGCCATGTATGTACCTATGCAACAATCCTGCATAATGTGCACCTGTACCCCAGAACCTAAAGTATAATTTAAAAAAAAAAAGGTGGGGGCTTCAAGTCTATAGGCAAATTTAAAATTTTTCTGGTTGACAATTGGAGTTTATCTGAAGACCTGGGATCAGTAGAAAGGAAATGTTCAGGTTAAGCTAAAGGATTGTGGAGACCAAGTTTTACTATGCAGAGGAAGCTCTCAGACAGCAGACTTCAGAGAGTGAAGGTTGTAAAATGTTTCTTATCTGACCTAAAAGGGTGCCTGGCTCTTAGTTGATTATTTCCCGGGTCTGAAAAGGGAGCAAAGAAAGAGGAAAGGAGATTCTCTATAGAATGTGGATTTTTCCCACAATGGACTGCTTTGCAGGGCCATTTCAAGATATGGCAGAAAAACATGTCATGGTATTAAATATTCTTGTTTTCTTCCTTCTTATGCCAGAGTCAGATTGGAAAGTACACAATATACAGGATTAAATAAAACCCTTCTGATGAGAATTTATGGTTTTTAGGGCATTAATCCCCAGACCCCATAGATAGGAATTTTGGCAAGGTTTAAAAACAAAACAAAACAAAACAAAAATCAGAGCTTTGTCCTCAAAAGGTTTTAGTAAATACCCCATGCTCTTAGTTGGGAATCCTGATGAACAATAGCCTAGCGGCAGATAGAAGTTTATGATAGTAAAATCCAGCCCAAGTCAGCTTAGTCCCTCATTGGATGAAGGTGATCTTCCTCCTTCTATTAATTACCAAAGCATAGGGGATTCTCTGTCTGAAGGAAATAAGATTATTTAGAGCTCCTCCATATTTTTAGACACAGGGTCTATAAGGTCAATCAAAAATTACCTGAAGTAGACCAACAAGAAAAAGTAGACCAAGAAGAAAATAAATTCCAGAAGTTAAATAGATTAGTTAATTTAACTTTACAAACACTGTGATAGGATGAGAAATTTCCTAACAGACCAATATTATAACCATTCTTCAGACAACTACTGTGGACAAAATAACTCCACAAATACCTAATTAAGAAAGACTAAAAGATACGGAAGGAAAGAAACAATTGCAAGTGCATTTTCCGTTTTCATAGATTCTAGCCTGAGAGCAGTCCCAGTCAGGTGGCATGACTAAAACTTTACTAGAAAACCCACAGAAGAATCAGAGAATAGGGTTCAGGACCATCAAAAACATTGAGAAACAATAGAGTTAAAAAGTAAGATCTGGACATCTTCAAGGAGCTGTCCCAGATTGAAGCCTGTCAGGTCCAATGCAAATGAGGCTGATTCCCACTCTGGTCAGCATAATGTAGGCCCCCGCAGAAAAGATCCCTGCAGGGCTCTGTGCGACAGCCATTGATATCCTGACTACAGTAGTACAAAATACAAAGCCTCCCCTTTCACAGCTTCTCATCTGCCAAGCTTTCCCTGCTGTGGCACAGTGTACCCTTCACACAGATGACAATGCCACCATGCAGAATGGCGGAGAGTGCTTGTGGGCCTATGTGTCAGTGACCCTGGAACAAGTTGCCCAGTGGCATGATGAGCAGGGCCACAATGGACTGTGATATGTGATGCAAGTGGTGAGCCAGCTCCTGGATCCCCATACCTCAGAGTTCACTGCAGCCTTTGTGGGCCACCTTGTTTCCACCCTCAACTCCAAGGCAGGGCGGGAGCTGGGGGAGAATCTAGACCAGATTCTTCATGCCATCCTCAGTAAGATGCAACAGGCAGAGACTCTCAGTGTCATGCAGTCTCTGATCATGGTGTTCACTCATCTGGTGCACACTCAGCTAGAACCTCTCTTGGAGTTCCTGTGTAGCCTCCCAGGACCTACTGGCAAACCTGCCCTAGAGTTTGTGATGGCTGAGTGGACGAGCCGACAGCACCTGTTCTATGGACAGTATGAAGGCAAAGTCAGCTCTGTAGAACTCTGTAAGCTGCTCCAGCATGGCATCAATGCAGATGACAAATGGCTACAGGATATTCATGTGAAGGGAGAGGAGATCTACAGCATGGATGAGGGCATCCGCACCCACTCTAAGTCAGCCAAAAACCCAGAACGCTGGACAAACATTCCTTTGCTGGTCAAGATCCTAAAGCTGATCATTAATGAGCTCTCCAACGTCATGGAGGCTAATGCTGCTCGCCAGGCCACTCCTGCAGAGTGGAGTCAAGATGACCAGGAGGAGAAAGAGGAGGAGGAGGACCAGGAGGAGGAAGAGGAGGAGGAGGAAGATGGTTTAGCTGGCCAACTTTTATCTGACACTCTTGCTACAAGTAAATATGAGGAGGATTACTACGAGGATGATGAGGAAGATGACCCTGATGCCCTGAAGGATCCTCTCTATCAGATTGATCTGCAGGCATATCTGACAGATTTCCTCTGCCAGTTTGCTCAGCAGCCCTGCTACATAATGTTTTCGGGCCACCTTAATGACAACAGGAGGTGAGTTCTACAAACCATCAGCATCTAAAAAGGGGAGCCTTTCTACATTTGCTCCTTCTGACCCAGCCACAAACCATTTTACAGCCCTCAGTGGCCTTAAGATGTACTTTTTTCCTCAACCTAAAGTGGCATCTTGACCTTTGGCCCTTGGCCTTAGCGGTGACACTGATGACAACTCAGACCAGGCTCACCAGTGCCAGTCACTTAGGAATGCTGGAACAAAGGACATTTTTCAAAGTTCCCGTCAAGACATCCCATCTCTGGAACCTTTTTCTCCCCAACTCTGCCCCAACCACTGTTCCTAGAGCCCTCTGCTGGCCAGTCCAGAAACGTTATTGCCCAGAAGAATTATGTGTTCATGGATTATTTTGCCCTGCCTCAGGAACACAGGAAGTCACTACCATTTATATTCTTAAACAGACCTATCTACGTTCATAGGACTTCTGATGTGTTCAGATAGGAATCCTCAAGAGAGATCATTATGCTTTCTGCCCTGGACCACTGCTGCTCTGGGTTCTCAGGAGGAACACGCAGGAGCAGCTTCATTCTGAGCCTTTCCAGTGACCTCTGCCTTGCTTCCCTTCTACAACACTAAGGCTCCTCTGTCAGAGGAGGTCGTCTTGTTTTTGCCTCATTGTATGACATAACCTTTCCCCTTAAGCTGTTCCTATATATACATGCACACACAAAATAAGCCACAGAGTTGGCAATTTGATTTTCCTTTTTTAGAAAAAATAAAATGGGGAAAAGGGATTTTTTTTTAAATTCACCTGACCCAACTATATTTAATATGCCTCTCCCACACATTACCACAGAGTCTGACATTCAAAAATTATCCCCTCTCCCTCGGGAAGTCTCTAAAGTGGTTAAGTTTTAGCCCTCAAATTTGCAACATGTATTTTTCTAGGACAGTAAAGTAATCTTTACAAATGAAAGAAAAAAAGTAAGATCTAATATTCAAAATCTACAAAGAACTAAAACAGATTTACAAGAAAAAAAAACACATTCAAAAGTGGGCTAAGGATATAAACAGACACTTTACAAAAGAAGACATATATGAGGACAACAAACATGAAAAAATGCTCATCATCACTGGTCATCAGAGAAATGCAAATCAAAACTACATTGAGATACCATCTCATGCCAGTTAGAATGGTGATCATTAAAAATCTGGAGACAACAGATGCTGGAGAGGATGTGGAGAATTAGGAATACTTTTACACTGTTGGTGGGAGTGTAAATTAGTGCAACCATTGTGGAAGACAGTGTGGCGATTCCTCAAGGACCTAGAAATAGAAATTCCATTTGACACAACAATCACATTACTGGGTATATACCCAAAGGATTATAAATCATTCTATTATAAAAACATATGCCCACTTACTGCAGCACTGTTTACAATTGCGAAGACCTGAAATCAACCCAAATGCCCATCGATGATAGACTGGACGAGGAAAATGTGACACATATACGCCATGGAATATGATGCAGCCATAAAAAAACAATGAGTTCGTATCCTTTGTAGGGAGATGGATGAATCTGGAAACCATCATTCTCAGCAAACTGACACAGGAGCAGAAAATCAAACACCTCATATTCTCATTCATAGGAGGTTGTTGAACAATGAGAACACATGGACACAGGGAGGGGAGCATCACACACTGGGGTCTGTTGCTGGGGGCTGGGGTCAAACAGAGGGGGTGGGGGGGTTGGGGGGAGAGAACATGGGGATAAATGCCAGATGTAGATGACAGGGGGATAGAGGCAGCAAACCGCCTTGCCATGTATCTACCTATGCAATAATCCTGGATGATCTGCACATGTACCCTAGAACTGAAAATACAATAAATAAATAAAAATTTGTTCAAATCTCTGGCTGACATCTGAATAAAGGTTCACAGAGAGGATTCAAAATATCCTAGTTAAACTTGAAAGAACTGAATTGGAATTTGAGTTGCTGCCCATGAGGCAAAGTGGCTGGTTACATCCAACCAAGTTAATTGCTTGCTAAACAAAATATCATTCTTTGAAAGAATCTAACAGAAATAAATCTCTTTAAAATATAACCTAGGTAAAACCCAAGATAGAATACTGAATTATCCAAAATACAGAGAAATGTAAGAATGTAACCTATTTTTAAGAGAAAAGAAAATCAATGGGGACAGAACTTGAGATGGTCCAATCAATACGTATAAATCAATTTTATTTGTTCATATAAGCAACAAATAGAGAATTTTAAAAGGAAATTATTTACTTTAAAATTATATTTAACAAATTAACAAAATATATGCAACATCTCTATGTTGAGTTTACCAGAACATTACTGAAAGTTTAAAAGACTTAATTATAAAAGAGATATACCCTATTTATGTATTATAACACACAGTATTGCAAAGATATCAGGTTTCTCTACACATCTCAATCTAATCTATAGATATCTTCTAATTGATATATAGATTAATTAAATCAAATAAAAATAACAGTAGTTGTTTGTTACAACTCAGAAGCTAATTCTAGAATCGATGTCAAATCTAAATAACAAAATAGATTCAGTAACCAAAGAAGAAAAAGGAGGAGGAGGAAGAGGACAAAAAGCAATCACAATGAAGCTTGAGCCCCTAAGGCCAAGAATTATTATAAAGACATAAAAATGTAAAAGAAAAGAGAGATAGTCCCATGGAATCTGTGGGCAAGTCTAGAAACCAACACTTATACAGTTGCTTAATTTATGATAAAGTTTACAGTGCAGTGGGGAAAGGGCAATGTTTCAATAAACGGATCAGTTTGATGTCTATATTTTTTAAAAAGAAAAACAACAGTTTTACATTATACATAAAAATTAACACCAAATGTTATGTAGATCTAATTGTGAAAAGTGTAACACTAATCCTTTAGGACAACAACAAATTATCTTCTTGACATCAGGGCTAGGGAGAGATTTATTAAACTGCACAAGAGTACAAATTCTAAAGGAAAATAGAAACTTGATGTATCATACTACATTAAAATTAAAGCTTTCTCTTATCAAATTACATAGTTGGGAGAGTGAAATAACAAATCCCTTGGCAGAAAAAGATATTTATAGTACATATTACAACATGACTCAAATTTAAGATATACAAATATTCAGTTCTACAAATCAATAACAAAATAAAACAACCCCATAGAGAAATGGGCAAGAACAGGTACTCGTTCTTATCAGACTAACTCGTCCTCAGCTTTCCCAGTATTTCCTTCTAGTCCTTAGATCATTCAATCAAATTGTTCTCCATTTCTCAGGAATCTGTAGATATTCTTATCTGAAGCTTCTCCTCTTTACCTGTACACTATGTAATAAGTAACACCTAAGGTCTGCCCACTGGAAAATCCCCCATCATGTGTACGCTAACACAAACACATTTGCTTTGAGTGCTACCAGTTAGTGGGGCAGTAGTGCAGTTGCAATCCACATTGGACCAATATCAACATAAGAGTTAACCCATTTAAAAAAATTTTTTACTTTAAATTCCGAGATACATGTGCAGACATGCAGGTTTGTTACATAGGTATATGTGTGCTAGGGTGGTTTGCTGCACCTATTAACCTGTCCTCTAAGTTCCCTCCCCTCGCCCTTCACCCCCCAACAGGTGCTGGTGTGTGTTGTTCTCCTCCCTGTGTCCATGTGTTCTCATTGTTCAACATCCACTTATGAGAACATGAGGTGTTTGATTTTCTGTTCCTGTGTTAGTTTGCTGAGGATGAAGGCTTCCAGCTTCATCCATGTCCCTGCAAAGGACATGATCTCATTCTTTTCTATGGCTGATAGTATTCCATGGTATATATGTATCACATTTTCTTTATCTAGTCTATCATTGATGGGCAATTGGGTTGGTTCCATGTCTTTGCTGTTGTAAATAGTGTTGCCATAAATATACATTTGCATGTGTCTTTATACTAGAATGACTTACATCCTTTTGGGTATATACCCAGTAATGGAATTGCTGGGTCAAATGGCATTTCTGGTTCTATATCCTTGAGGAATTGCCATACTGTCTTTCACAATGGTTGAACTAATTTACATTTTCACCAACAATGTAAAAGCATTTCTATTTCTCCACAGCCTCACCAGTATCTACTGTTTCTTGACTTTTTAATAATTACCATTCTGACTGGTGTGAGGTATTATCTCATTGTGGTTTTGGTTTCCATTTCTCCAATGATAAGTGATGTTAAACTTTTTTCCATGTTTGTTGGCTGCATGTGTGTCTTCTTTTGCGAAATATCTCTTCATATCCTTTGTTCTTTTTGATTGGGTTGTTTTCTCTTTGTAAATTTGTTTAAATTCCCTGTAAACTCTGAATATCAGATCTTTTCAGATAGGGAAATTACAAAATTTTTCTCCTACTCTGTTTGTTGTCCCTTCACTCCATGATAGTTTCTTTTGCTGTGCAGAAGCTCTTTAGTTTAATTAGATGCAATTTGCCAATTTTGGCTAGGGTTTTTGTTTTTTTTTTTTTCAATTGCTTTTAGTGTTTGTTTTTGCTTTGTTGTTGTTGTTTGTTTTTGGTTTGGTTTGGTTTGGTTTGCTTGAGACAAAGTCTCACTCTGTTGCCCAAACTGGAGTGCAATGGCACAATGTTGGCTCACTATGACCTCTGACTCCTGGGTAAAAAGTGATTCTCCTACCTCAGCCTGCCGAGTAGCTGGGATTACAGGTGTGTGCCAACATTCCTGGCAAATTTTTGTATTTTTAGCAGAGATAGAGTTTCACCATATTAGCCAGGATGATCTTGATCTCCTAACCTCATGATCCACCCAACTAGGCCTCCCAAAGTGCTGGGATTGCACGCATGAGCCACGAGCCATGGCATCTGGCCACTTTCAGTGTTTTTGTCACAAAATTTGTGTCCCTATCTATGTCCTGGATGGTATTGCTTAGGTTTTCTTCTAGGATTTTTATGGTTTGGAGTTTACATTTAAGTCTTCAACCCATATTGAGTTAATTTTTATGTAAGGTGTAAGGAACAGGGTCCAGTTTCAGTTTTCTGCATGTGGCTAGCCAGTTTTCCCAACACCATATACTGAATGGGGAATCCTTTCCCGATTGCTTGTTTTTGTCAGGTTTGTCAAAGATCTGCTGATTGTGGATGTGTGGTGTTATTTCTGAGGTCTCTATTCTGATCCATTGGTCTATATGTCTGTTTTGGTTCCAGTATCATGCTGTTTTGGTTACTGTAGCCTTGTTGCATAGTTTCAAGTCAGGTAGCATAATGCCTCCGGCTTTGTTCTTTTTGTTTATGATTTTCTTGGCTATATGGGGTCATCTTTGATTTCATATGTTATTTTTTCTAATTCAGTGAAGAATGTCAACAGTAGTTTGATGGGAATAGCATTGAATCTATAAATTACTTTGAACATTATGGTCATTTTCACAATAATCATTCTTCCTCTCCATTAGGATGCAATGTGTTTCCATTTGTTTATGTCCTTTCTTATTTCCTTGCGCAGTGGTTTGTAGTTCTCCTTGAAGAGTCCTTCACATCCCTTGTTAACTGTGTTCCTAGGTATTTTATTCTCTTTGTAGCAATTGTGAATGGGAGTTCATTCATGATTTTGCTCTCTGCTTGTCTATTGTTAGTGTATAGGAAAGCCTATGAGTTTTACACATCGATTTTGTATCCTGAGACTTTGCTGAAGCTGCTTATCAGCTTAAGA